GGGGAGGATGAGGTATGTATGGGGTCAGCTGACGAGTTACTCAGGATTTCGACTATGTACTTAATAGTCTAAATTTTCCTGTGTGACTATATACTTAACTTTTTCAGAACCCTCTCCTCTCTCAGATTTATGAGTCTTCCTGGTGTAGGGGAATTAGTCAGTGAAGTTGTCAGTTTCCCAGGCAATTCCTTCAGAGTTTCCTTCAATGGAGATTCTGCAGAGTCCTCAAAGCAACTCCCATCTATTAGAATAACAAATGTCTGGCCAGCAAAAATTCCAGGCCCATTTTTAACTCAGCCTATTTACTATAATTTTTTTCACTCATGGGATGTAGGCATCATTGGCTGGCTAACATTTACAGCCCGTCCCTAGTTGCGCTTAAGATGGTGGTGGTGAGCTGCCTTCTTGAATTGCTGCAGTCCATGTGCTACAATGCTCTCAGGGAGAATTCCAGGATTTTATCCCAGCAACAATCAAGGAACGGCAATATATTTCCAAGTCAGGATGCTACGCAGCTTGGAGGGAAAAGTGTAAGTGGAGGTGTTCTCATGTGTTTGGTACCCTTCTCCTTCTAAATGGAAGTGGTCGTAGATTTGTAAAGCATTGTCTCAGGATCTTTGGTGAATTTCTGGCAGTGCATCTTATAGATAGTACACACTGCTGCTACCGAGCGTCGGTGGTGGAGGGAGTGGATGCTTGGAGATGTGAGTTCCAATCAAGCGGGCTGATTTGTCCTGAATGGTGTCAAGCTTCTTGAGTGTTGTTGGAGCTTCATCCATCCAGGCTAGTGCATGCACCCAATAGAGCAATGATGAACCTTGCCCATTGGCCAACCATCTCAGGAAAGTAAAAGTTGTGGATGTATTTCCTTCATAACTGCAGACATTTGTAGCAGCACAGTCTCAATTTTCTGATCTGCGCAGCCTGGAGATGAAGCATAATCTTAGAAAATCAGACATACATTCCAAATATGAAGCCAGTATTCCTTGTAGAGGTGCTCCATTCTCTCACTGGATTCACTGTCTTATATATGGTGAATTCTGAATTTTACCTTTCCACTGCTTATATTGTAAGTGTTGGAGTGGTGAAGGGCTGGGGGATTCTCCAATTTGTGCTCAAACCCCGGCCCATGGCCATCCATCTGTTGAAATGATTAATAAGGAATTAATGGATGAGTAGAAGCAGAAAATGTTTAAGGTCTAGCATCCTAGTCTACAATTTTCCCTCAGCAAACAAAGACCATGAAAAGACATACTGAACATTCATCTCCTTTTATTTTTAATAACATTCATTTCAAACTCTGGTTGCCCTGAGCATGCAGTGGGAGTCCATTAGGATGCTAGCTCCACTTACAGTAAATGTTTTAATTCTTTGCCAGTATAAATTCAGGCAAAAGCTGTTTAATCAAATTTGAAATAGAAGTAAGTATTTACTTTTCCGTTGGACCCAGTTTGTGGCAGTAATCTTGCTTGCTAAAAAATGAACATAGGCCAGACATTCAGTAGCTGTGTTTCTGCTCCATAGAAAGCAGTTTAATGGTTTAGAAATTCTTTTAACAATTGCACATGAATCGTTTGGAACCTAAAACCTGGACTTCCAGACAGTTTTACTTTTCAAGCAGTTCATTGGATAAAACATACAACTGCAATTTTTTCTAAAATATGTCTCATTTTAACAAGGAAATGACAGAAACCATTTTATGGTTTGCTCTCGACAGTTAAAGGCGAATATAGTCAAAGACAGATTGATAATGTTGACAATTAGCAGTTTAAACTTATTGCACGTTAAAGTAAAAGCAAAGAACCTCAGCATTTAATGCAGCAAGTGTAGATACTCCCAGCACTGCAAAGATGAACAAATGACTCTACCTTAGACGCTGTTCATTTGAGATTTACTGGGGTATGATAATGAGGTAGTGAAATTTAGTACTGCACATGTTTAAAAGAGTTATGAGTTAATCGTTCAACACATTTTATTTTACCTAGCTTCTCTGTTTTCTGTGATCTTCTGCTACAAATCTTTGGTTAAATCACCCGTGCTGAGGATTTCATTCTGCAAATGGTTGAAATTTGAAGCAATTATCACCAACTCCAAGGTAAATATGATGTGACTTTGTGAAAATACAGCCTATATATTTTGCAAGATTTGCATGCAGAGATTTAATACATTTTCAATACAATGGGAACTTAGAATATTATGTAAGAAGAGTGACACTTCATTGCAATCAAGTTCAAGTGATTAAGTTTTTAAAGCCTTGTAACCTGCTCTTATTCAGATAGTAAAAATTCCTGTTACATGTTAATAGAGATAAGAACAGAACATACTGGAAGTCTGAAATAAAAATCTGAAATGCGAGAGAACACAACACATCATTTAACACCTGAAAGAGAACAGAAAGGCTAATCATTTGGAATTCTTCATTAGAATTGTCGTGCTGTATCTGATGATGATCCATTCATTCAGTAGATAAGTTTCACCCATAACCTGTTGAAAGGACCAATTACAATTAACATTGTGGAACAGTGGCTCAGTGGTTAGAACTGCTGCCTCACAGCACCAGGGATCTGGGTTTGATTCTTGCCTTGGGTGACTGACTGTGTGGAGTTTGCACATTCTCCCTCTGTTTGTGTGGGTTTCCCTCTGTCTGCTCTGTGCAGTTTAGGTGGATTGGCCATGCTAAATTGCTCATAGAGCCCAGGGATGCGTAAATTAGGTGGGTTACAGGAGTAGGGGGATGGGTCTGGTCAGGATGCTCTTTGGAGGGTTTGTGTGGACTTGTTGGGCCAAAGGGCCTGTTTCCATTCTGTAAGGATTCTACTCAGCTCCACAAGTAAAATCCAATATGCCTTCAGAGTGCTGAAAAAAATTTATGTTGCAAGGGTAGCATCTTGCACATTTTCTGTTTGTCTCAAACAAACTTATGAATCTAAAGGTCATCGAGTACAGTCGAGCCATGTCCAGTAAAATATATTCTATGCCTTCACAACAGAGCCATAGTGGGTCACATATAATCCAACTCCGAAGACCCTCTAGAATCACACTGATGATCTGGCAGCTCATCAGATAGTAATGGTAAAGGAGGTAAAGCAAATAACAAGGTTCAAAGTAAATTCATTCTCTTTACGATTAAAGTTTTCTGATGTCTATAAAATTGTTACAAGCCATTAAGACATACAACCATGAAGTTAACACAAAACATAATGCAATAATTCACTGCTCTTGTTATAATCTATTGCTAGTTATAACTCTCATGTTTTTAATCAGATGTCCTAGGGAAACACAGAATTGATTTAAACTTTGCTGGAATTAACTGGTACAGACAATCTGTCCCCAAGCAGGAATGCAACTCTACTCTTGATCCCATTAAATGACATCAGGCATTACATTATTATTTTATACAAGTTAGTTCTATTAAGAATGATATTTCTGAGCTGGAACTCTGCAATCAAAGGTGAATAGAAAAGACCTTTTAATTAAATTGAGCCAAAGGACTTGGTGTACACACAGGCAAAATGGCAGCTTCTTTTGAAGAATGTCTGCATGGCTGAAATCTTGCTATAGATATTTTTAATCACTCTGGTCAAACAATATCATGACAAACCTCTGGGATGTGAATTTAGAACTTCTGGCCTCGAGGTAGGGTTACCACAAAACCCCAAAGTCCTGCTGTAATTTTGAACAGGAAAACATAAAACAGGTACTCCATCCAGATCTCAGAATTTGGTCATCAGTGCAGGGCAATTGTTTGGAAGAAAATGCTTGTAAGTGGTTGCATCTTGTGATTCCAGAAAATGCTGTTTCACACAGCTCTATTGCAATATTTCACAGATAAAACACAAATCAAAACACTCCTTAATCATGGTTTGAAACAAGCACCCCAAAAGCAGGAATTAAAAATTCAAAATATGTCAGGTGTGAATTCAGATGTACTACGTTTGGCAACATTTGTGCATGATCAGTTGCTTTGGTTTTCAAAAACGTTACCTTAAACAAAAATGAAAAATACGTCCTTTTATTCTGAATGTTTTATTTTGAAAGATTTGCATTACAATTTAAAACAACTCAAATGAAGTATTCTACACTCAGTTACTTTACAATGGTGTTTGATGAAATCCCTGAATGGATATTGCTTCAGCTTCAGTCAGAAATGAGTGGGCAGTTATTCCTCAATCACCATATTTAATACAAGTGGCAGAAAAAATGGGAGGCAACAACCAAGTTTAAACACTGCATTCTTGGCTGATGAAACTGGTTCTGAATCTACAATCAAGTACACAACACTTGGTAACTACAGATTTATTAATAACCTTAAACCTAAAAAATAGTTGTTACATTGATCAGCTTGCCTTTTTAATTTTCTGTTTTGCTTGCATAATAAACATGCAATGAAATATCTTTATTTTCTTCTGAAAGAATCTTCTTAAGCAAAGATTCAGATCGTTGCTGTATTGCATAAGAGCATTACCAAAATAAGGAAGAGCTAAATAACCAGAAACTAACATCTTAGCTTCATGTGAATGTCCTACACTCCTCCTGAGACACACAGCAGTCAGACAGAAGCATGTACATCGAAAGTTTGATTTACAGTGTGACACGGTCATGCACACAACTCCTTGCATAGCTCAACCCACATATAGTAAGGCACTATTTCCTCATCACAGCCCAGAGTCCATAAGCAGATTGGTCTGCACATCAAAAAGTATATACCATTCCTGATGAAGAAATACATAAATGTATAGGATGAGAGCAATTTATCATCTTTCATGTATGTGCTCACAAAATGAAGGAAATGTCTTAAAACGTCTCTGCACACAGTTTGAAATCAAGTTTTTTTCTCTACATCAATTTGAAAGCAGATGCACTGACAGAGCAGACTCAGTGGGCTATAGCTTCGGTGTTCCAAGTGCACACTGATCAGGTTATATACATATAAGGGTTCGAAAGCATTCAAAGAAGAAAGCTGTAGTGTTTCAACGTCTATGGATTAGCTTAGTCCCTGCTCAGTTGAGCTGGTCCTCGTACTGCTTACGGAAGCAATCTCCGGCAGGGAAGAATTCCCAGCAACGTTCCTGATACATTTTCCATACGTAGGATTCCTGTCAGATAAACAATATTGTGTTATATGGGCCAGTGCATGGCAGAGACTTTGCAAGGGTTCAGAAAAGATTTACAAGGATGTTGCTGCGATTGGAGGGTTTGAAGGAGAGGCTGAATAGGCTGGGGCTATTTTCCCTGGAGTGTTGGGGGCTGAGGGGTGATTTTATAGAGGTTTATAAAATCATGAGGGCAAGGATAGGGTGAATAGCCAAGGTGTCCAGGGTGGGGGAATCCAAAACTAGACGGCATTGTTTTAAGGTGAGAAAGGAAAGATTTAAAAGGAACCTGAGGAGCAACCTTTTCACACAGAGGGTGGTGTATGTATGGAATGAGCTGCCAGTGGTGTAGGCTAGTACATTTAAAAGGCACCTGGATGGGTACATGAATAGGAAAGGTTTACAGGGAAATACTGGCAAATAGGGCGAGATTAATTTAGGATATCAAGTTGGACCGAAGGATCTGTTTCCATCCTGTTCATCTCTATGACTCTATGACACTCAATGAACTGTGAACAATATGTCAAGTCTACTGTAACTAGCAGAAGCGGAGGTACAGTGATAATGACAGCATGCCTATTAATCAAGAACCCCAGGTCAGTGTTGTGGTGTGGGGGGTGGGGGGGTGGGGAACATGGGTTTTAATCCCAACTGTAGCAGATGGTGAAATTTGAATTCAATAAAAATCTGGAATAGAGGGCTACCCTAATGGTGATTAATTAATGAACCCGATGGATTTTTAAGGTTAATGTCCTTTAGGGAAGGGAACTGCTATCCTGACCTCACCTATATATGACTCCAGATTCACTTGACTCTCAACTGCCTGCTGAGCAATAAGCATTGGCCTAACCAGCAATGGATGACTTTTTGTCAAAAAAAACTGCTTACACAGAGAATTAGTAAGAAATTTCAATTCACACAAAGGACAACAGAACCATGGAGTAGACAAATGGAGAATTGTATGAGAGTAGATGCTGTGAATACTGGCTTCTCTGTGTATCAGTCTTTTAATGCACAAAAGGATAAGTAATTCATATATGTTTCTCCCCTGACCCAGCCAAACAATGAACAGTACGGCCTAAATGTTACTGCAGGTGTCGGGACCCTGATGTGGTAATGTAAAAGCAGGTCACAAAGTCTGACTTGATGGCAGTAGGATGAGTTTGGCAATTTTACCACAGGCAGCTTCCCAAATAGTCCCCTGCAGACCCACGATCAATTAGTGATAGCTGGCAGGCTTCTGAGGTTACTGGTCCGGTCAGAGAACCCGCAGCACTGAAGCCCCACCAGTACCATCAAGAGATGGACAAGAGAAGTAGAAACATTTTCTTTTAAAATATCACAGGGTTGAGGGCTGGAAGGGAAACCCCAACCCCACTACTGCATCATTGAGTCCGGCTTTTCTCCCAGGCAGCTGAAAGAAGGCTGCCCTTTTTTTTGGTTGCGAGCCTCACAGTGCCACTGGTGGGGGTGGCTTGTCCTGCCAACAGCGCTGCCAAAAACTGACCTCTAATCGGACCTCTCATTAAGTCAATCTGCTTCCCAGCTCCTTGGAACGGGCAGACACTCCCCTTCAAGTCTCATTACTAAAACCCTTCTTGGTTTGCAATGGGATCAAGGTTTACAGGGAGAAGGTAGGGGAATGGGCTCAAGAACATATCAACCATGATTGAATGGCAGAGCAGAGTTGATGGGCTGGATCGATTAATTCTACTCCGATATATTATGATCTTAAAGGCACATTGGGGAGGGAATCTGACATGGCTTCCTGGAATGCAATTGTTTGGGGAATTGGTAAAATGCTGGCCTAAATCTCTGCTTTCTTGTTGGTTGGCCTCACTCTAATCTTGACCGAGAATCATGAAGTTTCGTAGCTGGCCACTTGCTGATGTGCAATGTGAAATCCAGCAAGGACTTGGCAACGTTTGGTAGCTGTGAAGGAAAAGATGAATTGTAACAGAAAAGCTAGACTGTATGTGAAAAAGAAACGATGGCCATCTGTGTGTGTCTTGAGCGCAGAACCTTTCCTCCTAATTAATGCGAGCAGCTCACTGACATCCTGAAGTGTTGTAGCATTAGTCCAATCCTCTTCACTCACCGATTAGAAAGTGGGGCAGCCTTACCTGGCCGGTGTGTTCTGTTTCATCTTTGTTAATTAGATACATCAAGAAAAACCTGTAGGAATAAAGACATATGTTGGTAACATCTGAACAGACATCATATGTGTTGATCTAAAACCGATTCCTGTGCAAATTCCATGTCATTCAATGGAACACATCCTTATGCCATTGAAAACCGACACACTGGTCATGATAACATTCAGTATGCTGTCATTGAAATCCTCCTAAAATCAACTACAATTTCTATTTTGTAGGTTCAGATAATGATTTTCTCCACTACTCACCTTTGTGTTATGAGGGTTTGCTTGAATCAAGGATTTGGCAGTTTGCAACAAGTGACTAGATATTTTCCCCTCAAATTACTAACCCTTACATGTCCCAGATCATCCAGACGTACCAGAAACTGGTCAAACTTCTCAGAAGGCCCAACGCGCTGACTATGCTGTAACTGTGCCGGAAGTGTGTGATGAACTTTGATGAAAGTATATGGTGGACAATGAGTGTTTGGAACCCTTCGAAAAAGTCCCCAGCTCTGAATTTGAGTCAGGGACTTCCAGAGAGTTCCAACATGCCTTACTAGTTACCCATTAGAAATTAGAGAGATTAGAAACCTGATCCAGATCCTGGGTAACTATACTCCTGACGCCGCCCCCCCCCCCGACAATTACTATCACCTCACCATTACTATCCAGTACCCTGACTCTTGACCAATCCTACCCTCACACCCATTTACCTGCCATCTGTATCTCAGGAAAAATTAGAGGGATTTAAACATGTTCTAACTCCTGGCTGACCATACTACTGAGCCCCAATCACTCACACGAAACTCCGTCTCCTGGAAACCTGACCTGACAACCTACCCCGACAGCTGAAAAACACTCACATTACAGCTCCCCTCCAATAAAAAAAATCGATCTTACCTTCTCCAACTCCTGACCATTTCCACAAACACCCCAATCCAACTACTGACTGCAGCCCCCCAACACTTGACCCACTCCACCCTCTCATCCACTTAACCTGCTGTCTGTACCCAACCTGACATGTTATGCCCTCATTCACCATCCTGGGATTCTACACTCTCCCCACTTGGCACCCTACCCACTCACTCACCACCAACAGCCCTAACCCCTTAACCATCCAGATACCACTCTATCCCTTCACCTAGTTACTTTACTCACTTTAAGCCCAGAATACAACAGCCACTGCTGTAAAATGGGACAGACAGTAATAGAGTCATATAACATGGAAACATACCCTTCGGTCCAACTTGTTCACAGTGGCCAGATATCCCAACTTGATGCAGTCCCATTTGCCAGCATTTAGCTCCATATCCCTCTAACCCCTTCCTATTCATATCCCAATCCAGATGCCCTTTAAATGTTGTAACTGTACCCGCCTCTACCACTTCTTCTGGCAGCTCATTCCATATAGTCACCTGTGTGAAAAAGTTACCCCTCAGATCCTTTTTAAATCTTTCCCCTCTCACCTTAAACCTACACTCTCGAGTTTTAGACTTCCCCCACTCGAGGAAATAACCCTTGGCTATTCACCCTATCTATGCCCTTCGTGATTTTATAAACCTCTATATGACTTGGCCTGAGCTGTGCAGGAAGACTTTCTGAACAGATTTCTTGAGATGCCCGAGTGGGATGTTCAAGCCAGAAGTGGAGGGCATGGCATAGGGTAAAGGAGTGGAGTGACAGTCTGCTGTCTCTGCCCCTCCTCCGAAGATTCAGCCTCACGTTTCCCTTTCTAAAAAATAAACGGACTAAAAAAATCCTTCATCTAAAAACAAAACATTGATAGTTTTGATTGTGCCACAATTTACTCTTTAAGTCCTAATGAGAAATTTCCTCAGTGTGTTCTTTAGTATAGCTGTGTGGGACCAGTGCATTGGGATCGTTACATGCTACAGCACAAATTGCTGGGATACATATCAACCAATATCCATGACTCCCAACATTGGCGATACCCTGAATTCAGCCCTTTAGTTATCAAATCACACACTGCTTTTTCAAGGAGAAGAGGTTAAGCTCAACTGATGTACTTTTATGCACAGCCTAAAAATAGACAGTCAGGAGCAGGATGGTCATGAGTCAGAGGAAGGGGAATGATACAGGGCCCTCCGAGATGCACCAAGGTAGAAAAGAGAAAGTGCAAAACAAATCACCAAGTAAAGCGCATTACTGAATCTCTAGCTGTGCAGAAGAATATCTAGGGGGAAAAATGAGCATTTAATGGGTAGTTGAATCACACACTACACAGAATTAGATGAGACACTTCACACTACATGTTCAATGACACTAGCAACCCAACCTGCATGAATTCCACCAGATACAGATCAATAAAATGAGACAATGCCTGATTTTCTACTGTTGGTTGTGGCCAGCTACAGTAACACAATGTGCACTACAGATTCAGACTGACTCATAATGTAATACTGCCATGCAACTAATTCCACGAACAGCCAAGATAGGTAAGCTAAAATTCACTTCTCCCAAATTAACACACTGACTAGAAAATGTCTAGAAAATTGTGAATGTTTCAGCATGGTTACTTCTGAGGATTGAGAAGTAACCATACTGAAACATTCAAAATTCTTAGGGAGCTTGAAAGGGTGGATATGGAAAGGTTGCATCCCCTTGTGGGACAGTCTAGGACAAGGGGGCATAAGCTCAGTTTAAGAGGTCATACATTTACAGACAGAGATGAGAAGAAATTCCTTCTCTCCAAGGGTAATAAATTCTTCACTCTAGATAGCTGTAGAGGTTGGTCATTAACTACCTTTGAGGTTGAGGAAGGCAGATGTTTAATCAGTAATGGAGTCAAGAGTTATGGAGAAAAGGCACGAAAGTGGAGTTGAGGATTATCAAATCAGCCATGATCTTATTGAAGGATGGAGCAGACTTGATGGGCTGAATGGCCTACTTCTACGCCTGCATCTAATGGACTTATTAAGTGATGGTATTAAAGTTAAGTGGTGTTAAAATAATTCAAAAAACTGCTTGCCCGTTTTCACCAGACACAGCAAAGAACATAATATGAAGGAAGTGAGTAAACTAAACTGGTTGTAGTTTTCTTGCTATGCTGTAAATGGATGTAAATCCCAAGCTTCCACTTCAAAAGCAGATTTAAATGATCTCAAATAATGTTGTAAAGTGCTGCTCATACTCTGTTCATTGTCTCCATGGAATCTTGCAGTACTCATTAAAAATGCTGCTTTACTTGTTACCACTGCTGGCCAAGACTATTCCACTGTGTTACAATAGCACTAATTACAGGGCAAATTAGGATTTCATTATCCAGGCTTCACTCAGAATTGAAAACATAGGTCACTACTAGTACCTTGTATATTTTATGTGGTTCTTATAATGTTGTAAATCTGTGGTTCTCGGGTCCCCTTACATAAAGTGATTTTCATGGGACTGGGCATAACTGGCTAGGCCATCCCAAATGTCTAGAGGACAGTTTAGTGCATTAGTGAACTAGATGTTGGCTCATAGAAACAAAGGAGCCATTTGGCCCTATGTTGCTATTCAATAGAATCATGCTGTAGCCATTGACCCTAAGAACTATGTCTAACTCCTTCTTGACAATGTTCAATGTTTTGCCAGCTTTCTGTGGCCTCCATAGTCATCATTAGGTTAGCTTTATATTGCAGATTTTTATTGCATTTAAATGTCAGCTTCTGCCATAGTGGGATTTGAATGCATGTCCCCAGCCTAGGGTTACAGATTACCGGGGTAGTGACATTACACCATGTCATCATCTCCCTCAAGAGCTCTGCTTGCCAGAAACAATGCTTGAGGCTGGTGCTGGTTTTGGGCTGAAATGGCAAGAGAGTACCATTGTCTGCCAAGAGTGATGTGGGCACTTTAGGATGTGGAGCAATGGATAGGGTTCAACTTGGTGGCAGCGGTCCTGGAGTGTGATGTTGGGATCTGGCATGTCTTAGAAAGGGATTTTGGGGCAGCAGAAACCCTGGGAAAGTTGGAGGCACTTAGTGCAAGAATTCTTGAACAATGCAACATGGGAGGAAGTCACTGGGTGCAAAGGAATGGGGATGAAAGGTCAGGAGTGGCAGAAAATAGTGGAAGGGAGTAACAAGCGGATACAGGGTACAGGCATTCAGGATGGGCTCGGATGAGATGGTTGGAAGGAACACAGAGGTGAAAGAAATGCTAGCAGGATTAACAGTAAAGCTAGTTTAAAAATTTTCGTCACATTAAGCTGGAAAATCCTGCATTATCACTTGGAAAGGCACAATTTGATTCGTGATAGTCAGCATGGATTTGTGAGGGGTAGATCATGCCTCACAAACCTTATTGAATTCTTTGAAGAGGTGACCAAACACGTGGATGAAGGTAGAGCAGTGGATGTGGTATACATGGATTTAAGTAAGGCGTTTGATACGGTTCCCCATGGTAGGCTCATGCAGAAGATAAGGAGGCATGGGATAGGGGGAAATGTGGCAGATTGGATTCAGAATTGGCTGACCCTTAGAAGGCAAAGGGTGGTAGTGGACGGAAAATATTCAACATGGTGCTCAGTTACGAGTGGTGTACCACAAGGATCTTTTCTGGGTCCTCTTCTATTTGTGATTTTTGTAAATGATTTGGATGAAGGAGTGGAAGGGTGGATTAGTAAGTTTGCGGATGATACGAAGGTGGGTCGCGTTGTGGACAGTGCAGAGGGCTGTTCTAGGTTACAAAGGGACATTGATAGGATGCAAAGCTGGGCTGAGAAGTGGCAGATGAAGTTTAACCCTGAAAAGTGTGAGGTGATTCATTTTGGAAGGACAAACTTGAAAGCAGAATACAGGGTTAACGGAAAGATTCTTAGCAATGTGGAGGAGCAGAGGGATCTTGGGGTTCATGTCCACAGTTCCCTGAAAGCTGCCACCCAGGTGGATAGATTTGTTAAGAAGGCGTATGGTGTGTTAGCTTTCATTAATAGAGGGATCGAGTTCAAGAGCCATGAAGTTATGCTCCAGCTATACAAAAGCCTGGTTCGGCCACATCTGGAGTATTGTGTCCAGTCCTGGTCGCCTCAATACAGGAAAGATGTGGAAGCGTTGGAAAAGGTGCAGAGAAGATTTACCAGGGTGTTGCCTAGAATGGAGGGAAGGTCTTACAAGGAAAGGTTGAGAGAGCTAGGGCTTTTCTCTTTAGAACAACGAAGGATGAGAGGTGACCTGATAGAGGTGTACAAAATGATCAGAGGTATGGATAGAGTAGACAGCCAGAGACTTTTTCCTAGGTTGGAGGTAGCTGTTACGAGGGGGCATAGTTTTAAAGTGAGTAGAGGTAGATATAGGGGAGATGTCAGAGGTAGATTCTTTACTCAGAGAGTGGTGCGGGTGTGGAATGCATTGCCGGAGAGGGTAGTGGAGTCGGCCTCATTAGGGGCATTTAAGCGGCTATTAGATAGGCATATGGATGATAATATAAGGTAGGGGTGGATGTTAGATAGACCTTAGGATTAGGATAAAAGTTCAGCACAACATCGTGGGCCGAAGGGCCTGTACTGTGCTGTACTGTTCTATGTTCTATTATCTAACTTGTATAAATCCTGTTTTCTATTTAAATACTAACGAGATTCCCAACTGATATTGAATTCATTTGAGGAATCTGACTCTAAGTGAGAAAAAGCCTGGCTTGTTGAAATAACTATATAACTGGTTTTAAACTGATCAAGCTCTTACAGCATTTTGAAAGGAGTCTTTTGCCTTTCCATTCTTTTCTGAATAATTAGTTCATCTTATAGCTCAAGGACAAAAGAGAAAAAAGGTGTGTTCCTTTTCCTGCAACATTCTCCCTGTTTGTCTCCTATTCCCCTGGCCTTTCCTTTATTCTTCTCTCCATCTTTCTGTTTGTCTTCTCCTTGTTCTTTTGCCTCATAGTTTTCACATATTTTCTCTCATTGCTATCTCTCTTTCTGTTCAGCATCCTGTATTTAAATTTCTAAGTCTTTTCAGGAACTATAATCAGAACAGCTCTCTCTTCCTCTCTGTGTATTACTGTATCCAGAACACTGAAATATTACTGTCAAATGCAATATAAGATGCCTTATAGACAGAAGAAGAATTGGAATCGAGGAATTTTCTAGACAGAGAAAATCTGACTGATTTTAAATTCTGTTGTTTTAACTTGTTTTATTTTTTTTCTTGGGGAAAACGTCACTCATGAAGATGAGCGAAATCCTTGTTAAATGGCTTTGTCATTCAGTTTATTTATGACTCCGAAATCAGAGAGCTTGCTCCAAAACAAAAATAATTAATCATTTCAATAATATTGATTCAGCTTTGGAAATTCCTTTATTATGGCTTCTTGCTATTCATCTGAATGTTATGTTGTCACGATGAAATATCAAGAGGTTCTCGCACCGAGGGGCGGCACAGTGGCTCAGTGTTTAGCACTGCTGCCTCACAGTGTCAGGGACCCGGGTTCAATTCCACCCTCGGGTGACTGTCTGTATGGAGTTTGCACATTCTCCCCGTGTCTGCGTGGGTTTCCTCCCACGGTCCAAAGATGTGCAGGATAGGTGAATTGGCCATGCTAAATTGCCCTTAGTGTTCAGGGATGTGTAGATTAGGTGGGTTTATAGGGGAATGGGTCTGGATGGTATGCTCTGTGGGTTGGTGTGGACTTGTTGGGCCGAAGGGCCTGTTTCCACACTGTAGGGATTCTATGATTCAATGCTTGGACAGTGGCATTTCAGGAATACAAATGCACAATATTGGAGATACTGGAGATCTGAAATAATTACAGAAGATATTGGAAATACTCAACAGGTCAGGTAGCAACTGTGGAGAGAAACAGGGTTAACATTTCAGTTCGATGGTGACCCTTCAACAGAATGAGGAGCAATGTGGGATGAAGCACTCCTACTCCTCTTAGCCTGCAAGCAGTGCTTTAAAAAAGCTCACCTTCTCCCTGAACCCTGTCCTCGCAACTGTTGAGTTTCGCAAGACTCGAGAAACCACACTGCCCACTGTAAAACCCACAAAGCAGGTTAATTCAGAGGCAGCCAACCTCAGTAATATCTTCAAATTGTAAACCTGCATCCTGGGATTAGGTGTGCTTTCCAGTCTCTTATTCTGCTGTTGTAAAAGTCAGAAGTGGATGGGTAGGAGGTGAATTACTGTCAGGATTTTTTAAATGATAATATCAGACCTGACCCTAAGCCTAATCACTTACAGTCCACTCAATGTCTCAAGTGTTGATGTCAAATCATAGAGTAGTGTTAGCACTACGAAAATCACCACTCTGACACTTGACACAATCTATCTCTGGATTATAAGTTACCTAGAAGCTTCATGTACCAAGAAGCCTCATACTTGCACGCCAAAAATGGCAATTGAATGAGCTGAACTACATCACTTGTCTAATATCCTTATGTGTTTATATAATATTTTAAATCATATCTCAGCTCAAACATTCATTTGCAAGTTTACAGCTGCACAAACTTCTTTTCAAAGTTTACTGCCTCCATCTGCAGGTTCGACAGCAATTCCTGAAGCTCAGCAATGCAAATGGCTTCTATCCATAAAAGGATGTGCTGTGAAGCTCAACATTAGACAGAATTGTTTTCCTTGGCAGGTTTCGTTCCTGTTTTATATATTAAAAATTAACATCACTGACGAGAGCTGTTTATTTTCTTTTCTCTTCTGGTGGCCATGTAGCTGATTAAAAAATCCATGCATGCTGCTCTGGTGTGATTGAGTAGCAGGAAATGCAAGTACTTACAGGTAATTTGCCAAATTATGCTCCTGCAGCGTGTGAGTCTCAAAGCCATGAGGGACTGTGTCGAAGTAGTCATTGCCAATCCCACAAATGAAGCACTTGGTCTGAAAGGAACAAAAAGACAAAATAAAAGAAGATTGGCACTTGAAGTCTGTGGATCACTATTGTCTGATGACCATAATCAGTTGGTGGGGTAGGCTTGAGATCCAGGAGATGGGTCTGTGTGATTTATCTATCTTTCAGCTCAATCATTGCAAGTATCTGAATGGTCACATATCCCTTTCTAAGCTGTGGGAAACTATGATTGGGAATTTGAGATATTTGCATATCTGAAATTAAATTGATCTTACATTATTTATCCATGAAAGTGGGCTTGATGAATGTAATTCCCATGGAAGTTTTTTTTTATTTTGCAGGATGCATTTTCAGCACGGCATCCCTCAAAAGGGGGACTATTTACATTATGTTTTAAATGTGCTTGACTAATCTTTTAATTATAATACAAATAGCATAACCTAAAATAAAACACAACCCCAGAAGATACATTTTCAGCTCCTTGCCCAGCCTTCTAGATTGTCCACTTGATTTAAGAATTGATAGAGATCAATGTTTAACAGTTTTGCCAATCTTGATTGACAACACCAATTTTACTCTCAATGGAAAGATGCAAGTCTACATTTTTTAAACTCATTCACAAGGTGAGGGCATCGTTGGCTAGGCAGCATTTATTGCCCATCCCTGATTGCCCAGAGGGCAGTTAAGAGTCAACCACATTGCTGTGGCTCTGGAGTCACATGTAGGCCAGACCAGGTAAGGATGGCAGTTTCTTTCCCTAAAGGATATTAGTGAACCAGATGGGGTTTTCCGACAATCGACAATGGATTCACAGTCATCGTTAGATTCTTAATTCCAGATATTTATTGAATTCAAATTCCACCATCTGCTGTGGCGGGATTCAAACCCGGGTCCCCAGAATGTTATCAGAGTCTCTGAATTAACAGTCCAGCAATAATACCACTAGGCCATCGCCTCCCCTTATCACTCATGCGTGGCTTCACTATCGGAAAATAACACGTCCAAAATTAGAAAAGAAAATTATTGCTATTGTTCTCAATTCAAGCAGAATCCCCAGAGTTTCAGGGCCATGCAATCATATAATTTTCCAACACAGAGAGACAGACAGCTCATGGACCATTGCTATCATGCCAACTCTCTGGTCTTTCAATGTATCCTTTGTTAAAGCAGTTCGTATTCGGATTGTACCTTGCATGAAAAATAATCTTCTCACCTTCTCCCTCCTTGGGCTCCCTGTACAAATCCTAAGATCAGTTTGTTCAATGTTATTGATTTGCCACCGGGAAAATTAATTTTCCTCTGTTTACCTATGGTTAGCTAGTAGGCAATTACAAATATTTGTTGTGAAAGGCAAATAGCTTGAATTGTACTTGTAAGGCCTGATGATTTTAATGGATGCAAAATTTAATGCACATCCCTGTGCAGTGGGGGATGAGACTTGTGTTACCTTAGAAAATAGGTCAACTCGACGTTCTGAGATTCAGACCCTGAAATTTCACTGCAATGTTAGTGAAGAACACAAGGACACAGCACAACACTGTGTGTTGACACAGTCCCAGTTGTCTTTTTCAGTAAAAGTGTGTTTTTCATTCTCCTCAAGTGTGTTATTCCTGATATTGTTAAATCCCTTACCTCCATATCTTCTTTAACTTGCTCTTGCTGATCTCTTAGTTCACCAAAAGCATCAATAATTAGACCTGAACAGAAAACAGGAATTAGGTCATTTAATAAAGGAAAGCCTCAGTGGCAGCTCCTTCTGAAGTAAATTTTCACTTAAGCTGTAGCTGATAGTTGCAAAAAGGATGCTGAAGGTACAAAAACTCACTCCTGTGGCCAACAGTCACTGAGCAAAGGAACACACAGAGCTATCCAGGCGAAGTGAAGGCTCCTTGGGATACTGGCAACAATTATCCATGGTGAAGGAGATAGAATAACATGCTTTAGTAAGTAAATCCATGCCAGCTTGCTTAATGCGTCCATGCACAACTGGTCAATTCATTTTACTAATATCTACAAAAAGACTCTCAAATAACTCCACAGAGGCTGGTATCCCATCAACAAGTCACGCTTTATTTACACATGTACAATACTTGACGCTGGTCCGGCTTCCTCAGAGCCAGCTCTCAGAGTGAACAGAATCCCTGACACTCCTGTTTATATCTGTCAGCCAGGGCTCCCTGATTGGACCAGGTTAACAGCCCCAATCAGGGAACTCATATTCTATGAGGTTCACCTGGCTGACCTTGTTCCAATCACTACATTCCTCCCCCTCTAAGTCTAGGGACATAGGCCTGTTCTTTTTATTGTAACCTCTCCTGGGCCGTTTTCGTACCTGGTCCGGTTCCTCTGGCTCAGCCTCAGATATGTACGGCATGTACCAGGCTGTAGCCCGCCTCTTCCACCCAGAGTGTCTCAGAAGAAATTCATTCTCTTCTTCAGGCAGGAAAGGCATCGAGGCTGCGACATCCACCGTGTCCATCTCAGACTGCGAGGTTTCTTTTACACAGATGGAGGAGGTGAACCCATGGGTTCTGAGAGCCTTTCTTGCTGTTCTGAGGGGCCAAGTATGTTCCTGCCCTGTTTGCAAGTTTGCAGCTTTCATTTGGTCCACTTCCTTGTTCAGAACTGTCTCACCTACCCGAACTTGGTATGTCACAGGACCTGACCTCGTGTCTACCATGCCTCTTACCCTTGCAGGGCTATTTCCATGGTTTTGGAACCAAATTACATCCCCTGATATAAACTGTCTCTCTTGCTTAGAGTAGTCTTGTGTTCGGCATTGGCATTCTGATGCTGTTTCACCCTCCCCCCAGGTCCAGGAAGATCAGATTTAACCTCGTGCAGTGTCTTCTCCCCATTAAAAACTCTACTGGAGCTATCCCCGTAGTTGCAAGAGGGTTGGTCCTATAATCAAATAGGAACCGAGACTGTTTGGTATCTAGTGAAGCTGTAGTCTGATTTCTTAAGCGTGCCTTCAAAGTTTGGACTGCTTTTCCCACCAGACCACTGGACAATGGATGGTATGGAGCTGTCCTTATATGTTGCATGCCATTCAACTTGAGGAAATATTCAAATTCCCTGCTGGTAAATAATGGCCTGTTATCTGTGACCAACAATCAGTGGTGACTGAACTAGCTGCTTCTCATACAAGACCAGTAACCTTAATCTGTAAAGGTTCCCCAGTATAGGATTTCAGTTTAGCCAAGGTCTTCTGCAAACATAAGGGCTGGAATCCAAAGTGAATATTGTTAAAGACTGGTTCTGCAATCATTGATACAGCCACGTCGGTATCAACCTCCATTAGAACTGGGTGACCACTGAACCAGACGTTTAGTTTGATCGGTTTTGATTTGGATGTTGCTAAGCAATTTAACTATTCCAAGCCAGATCCATGTGGGCTTTCCAGGGTGTGCACTCTTCTGGATACAGGCCTATGAGTTTTCTTACACAATTTAGGTCTAAGCGGGACTCTCTTGTTGTCTCAAGTCCGCATACTGGCAGCAAACGCAATAGTTTGCTGACCCGGATCCTGAAGAAAATTTTAACAGTTTGGCTGAGGTTTGGCTTTGTTTTGGGGTTTTCCTGTGGGCTGACCCAGAGACTTTCTGTTCAGGATATGTCCTGAGTGAGGCTGTGCAATTGCCTTCACTCAAATGTTCTTCCCCAAGCTCAGTCAGCCTGGTGAGGGTGTCCACTTTCAACAGTGTACCCTATGACTCATACGGTCCATTTGCCGCATTTTCTAATCACAAAACCAGTTGTAGTGCCAGTTTGAAGTCCAGATGGGCTTCGGCTAGTAAGCACTTTTGCATGGTAACATCATTAATCCCACATACCAAACGGTCTCTCAGCATGTCATTAGGAGTTAAACCAAACTCACATGCCCCAGCCAGTCATTTTAAAATCCCGACTTGGATTCCCCTGGTTCTCGAGCTGCCAAGTAAAACTGATGGCGTCTCAGAATTAGAGGTGGCATGGAGTCGTAATATTCCTTAACTAAATCCATCAACTCTTGAAAGGTTTTAGTATCTGGTGCCTCAGGAAATGTTAGGCTCCTAATAGCTGAAAAAAGCTATGGGTCCACAAGCTGTCAGGAGAATTACTCATTGCTTTTCATCTGCCTGAATGTCATTTGCCTTGGAAATATAACAGCTTCTTTCCACACACTGGGCCTGGTCTTTGACAGCAAGATTGAATAAGTCAAGCTTCCCAAATAATGGCATGACGCCAGAAATGATCCCAACTCAAAGACGACTGGTTTGAGAGAATTTATTCAGGAGTGTATTTTTTCCTCGTCACCACTGACCTCGTTATGATCACTAGAGACTCGACACATTGAAAGATACATGCAGAGCCTGTGATGCTGCTGATCTAGAAAGAACAAGTGATGACTTCCTTTGTAAAGTGGGAATTGTCTGCAGACGTCTCCGCCTGAATATTATTCTGATGTGGCTGCACAAATGGGTAACTGTTGTGCATGTCTAATGCTGCCTGATGAGCCCAGCATTTCTCTGTTGTTCCTCTAGGTCTTTCAAAAAGGTCGTTCCCATTGCTCTATTTCAAACATTGGCAGAGAAGACAATAGTCTTAAGTAGCTCAAAGATTATCAATCACTTTGCAACAGCAGAACAACTTGCCATTGAAAGTCAAAAGTAAACTGGTGCTAACAATATTAATCCTGGATCCCTACACCATGTCTTGCCATCTCTAACCACCCTGAACAGTTGTTTTATACAGGTGCAAAGAAGAAACAGCAGAATGAGACATGGGTCATCTAAAACGGGGCACTTGCTTTAATTGGCACCTCCCTTGAAAGGTCCCACCCAAGGACAGACAAGCAGCTTCAGCTGAATGGGCAGCAAAAACTGAAACAGGTACCTGGAACTGTCTAAAAATGTGCAGGTTGTGTGGATTGTCCATGCTCAATTGCCCATAGTGTCCAGGGATGTACAGGCTAGGTGGATCAGCCTTGGGAAATACAGGGTTACAGGGATAGGGTAGGGTGGGGTAGGAGGAGTGGGTCTGGGTGAGATGCTTTTTGGAGGGTCGGTGTGGACTCAATGAGCTGTGTGGCCTGCTTCCACACTGTAGAGATTCTGTGGTACCTGAGTAAATGTACCTGCAATGAAAATCCAGGCCTCTGAGTGAAATACAGCTGGAGCATCTGTAGAGTAGTATGCGCATGAAGGGAAGAGGATGATTGATCTGAACTGAGCATTTGACTGCCCAAAGCTTTTAAATGGCTAATAGTCTGGTCTGGCTTCGACGCTCCCTCCTGAGATAGGCCTGGCAGCTGGGATCTTGGTAAAATGCTGAAGTAGGTGACATCTGGCGGGGTATTGTCCTGCCGTCATGGCGTTTTACCAGTTGTGGAGAAACTGGAGGATGGCCCTCCTGTCCAGAGACTAATTGGGCAATTAGGGGCCTCTTCTTGCCAACACTGGCATTTTAGTCGTGGCAGCTGTGTCTTTTGCCACATTGTAAAGCCGAGCAGCTTGCCAGCTGTCTGGGACAAGGCCTATTTAATTGGGCACACTGAATACTTGTACGGTAAAAAGTACAGAAAACATAGACAAAGCCGTTAGCAACTCCTCAGTCCACCTTTGCCCTCACCAAATAATCCTTCATTCCTCAACAGGGACTGCATGATTAACTTTGGCGGCCTCAGATCTCACTTCCTGGTAGTGAAGGAGGTTTCCACAGCTTTGCCTTATCAGCTGGCTGCAGTCCTAGCACTGACCGCTGATCCTGATGGTACTCCTGACACTGAAGAGCTGCCGGCTATTTGATTGGCAGACATCCAAGAGTCGGCAGCCCCAAATAGCTGCTGGAAAAATGGAAGAGGCAGTCGTAGGGTCCTACAAATGGCTGAGGCGGTGTTGCTCCAGATCCTCATCAGGAAACCCACCGCTCCGGCAAAATTTTAGTCATAATCACACCAGCCACGTTTGCTCCATGGTTACTGCACAAGTCATTGAAAGAATATTATCATTGCCATACCAATGGTTCTGGAGTTTCACATCCTGGTATATTCCCTAAAAGCATAACTTCCAGACTTAGTTTCGGGAATTATATTAAGTACATAAGAACATAAGAAAGCAGCAGCAGCTGGCCATACGGCCCATCAAGCCTGCTCCTCTGTTCAATAAGTCTATGGTTGATCTGTTTGTGGACTCAACTTCACTTACTCTCCCACTCACCATAACCCTTAATTCCCACCCCTGTCCAGGAACTCCCCAGCTACGTCCGGGACACCACCCATGCCTTCCACCTCCTCCAAGACTTCCAATTCCCTGGCCCCCAACACCTCATCTTCACCATGAACATCCAATCCCATACACATGTATCCCCCAGGCAGATGGCCTAAAAAGCCCTCCGCTTCTTCCTCTCCCACAGGCCCAATCAGTCCCCCTCCACTGACACGCTTTACAGAACTTGTCCTTACCCTGAACAACTTCTCCTTTAACTTCTCTCATTTCCTAAAGACTAAGGGGGTGGCTGCAAGAATGCGATCCCCTACTCCCAATTCCTCCACCTCCGCCACATCTGCTCCCAAGATGGGGCGTTTCACTCCCGTATGTCCCAGACGTCCTCCTATTTCAAGGATCGCAACATCCATTCCCTCCAGCGATCAAAAATGTCCTCAACTGCATCTCTTGCATTTCCCGCCCTTCTGCCCTTAAATCTCCTCCCCCCAACAAAAATAAAGACAGAATCCCCCTTGTCCTCATATATCACCACACCAACCTCCGCATCCAACGTATCATTCTCTGCCACGTCCGCCACCTACAACCCGACCCCACAACCAAGAGATATTTCCCTCCCCACCCTTATCTGTCTTCCACAGGGACCGCTCTCTCCGCGACTCCCTCTTCCACTCCACAATCCCCACTAACCCCACCACCCCCGGCACCTTCCCTGCAACTGCAGGAAGTGCTATAGCTGCCCCTATACCTCCCTCCTCACCTGCATTTAAGGCCCAAAACAAACCTTCCATATCAGACAGGGATTCACCTGTACATCCACCAACTTGGTCTACTCTGTCCGCTGTTCCCGATGTGGCTTCCTCTGCATCGGTGAGACCCAGCATACACTTGGAGATTGTTTTGTAGAGCATCTGTGCTCTGTACGCAACAAACGACAACACCTTCCGGTCTCCAACCATTTTAACTCCACCTCCCACTCCCTGGGTGACATGTCCATCCTGGGCCTCCTCCAGTCCCACAACACCTCATATTCCGCTTCGGGAGCCTACAGCCCAATGGCCTAAACATGGAATTCACCAGTTTTAAAATCTCCCCAAACCCGGCCTCATCCCATGTCCAACCCTCCCTCTCATCCCTGGCTCCTTTACCTGACACAACTTGTCCACCTTCTCTCCCACCTATCCGCCCCAGCCATTCCACTGACAAATTCCCACCACTTCCTACCTACATTCACCTATCACTATCCCACCTACCTTCCGTCTCCCCATTTCTGAAGAAGGGTCCTGACCTGAAACATCAACTTTCCTGCCCCTCTGATGCTGCCTGGCCTGCTGTGTTCTTCCAGCTCCATACTATGTTGTCTCTGACTCCAGCATCTGCAGTTCTTGCTATCGTTGGCTATTTTTTCCTTTCCTTTTGCCCAATGGCGCTTAAAACCAATTACAATGCTTTAATTTCCATGTCAGGTAAAGTTAGCCAACATGCAGAAACCACAGATTCGACCTGGGTCCGTCTGGTCTATGTTGTCCAACACGATGCTAAAAATACTTACTCCATGTTTCTCACAATAGTAAGTACAAAGTACTACTGATGCTGGAAATCTGAAACAAGCTCAGAAATTGATGGAAAACTCAGTAGGTCCTGGATCAACAGTGGAGAGACCAGAGTTAACATTTCAATTCAGAACTGAAGAAGAGTCATACCAGACTCAAAACATCAACTCTATTTCTCTCTCCACAGATACTGCCAGACCTACTGAGTTTCTCCAAGATTCCTTGCAACCTTTCATAGCATATAATGAATTTTATACCATTGTGACTGCAAACATGGAAGCACAGCTGAAATGAGCTGTGCCAAATGTTCATAACTCTGCAGAATTTTAAAAGGTTAGAATAACTAGAGTGCCCTAAATGCATGTAAATACGATCTTTCTTTCTTTCAACATTACTTAATGCCCAATTAGGATAGATAGCAGCATTAGCTATTGACTAGCCACCGCTTTCTTGTTTCATTGCTCATGCATTGTGTAGTTGGGATATTTGTTGGTTTTGTTCTGAAGAAGTACTTCACTCGTATCACTTAGGTTTCCTCCAGCTCAGTTTTAAAAATCACCACCTGATGCATGTTCTACCAGTGTATCGCTTATAGAAATCCATCTGCACTCACAAAACTACTCATGGAGAATATGGCGAAAGAATGTCATAATAATATGATCGCCACAATCAGCTGCAAAATGTGCTTACAAATATCCCCGCACCTTGAATGATGGCCAACAGGATGACGATCACAAAGAAGAAGAAGGTGATATCAAAGATAATTCGATAGATTTCGTATTCATCCCCAGCTGGGTCTTCGATCTCATCACCGATACCTCCACCAGCACGGACACCGACGTACATGTGAAACATGTAACACTGTTTAAAAAAAAGGATAAGTGACAATATCAGATGACCATGCATCTGTCATGTGGATTGAGTTCTCCAAATACTTTGTCCTTCGTTTGTACTTCAAACTAACAAACCAACAAATCATTCTAATTGAAAGCCGGACATAAAATTCACTTAATCCAAAAATCAATACTCCCGTGCCCATGTTAAAAATTTTGCAAGCTTCTTATGCTCATCTAATTGAATTGTGATCTGCTGCCTAAGCAGAAAATCCAGTTGTCAACTCATCGTTGTTGATTGATGCACCCTGAAATGTTCTTGTGGTTTAGAGAAACCAACAAGTCCAACTCTGAAAGTGAATCTTCACAGGGCTTGTTACATTGTCTCACTGCAGCTTCAGCAGAAGATCCTTGCAAAGCACAAAGAAACAGCCTAAACCAAAAGAGCCCACATATTATATTCACTGTATAAACATTGTTGGAGTATAGGATATGTTAAGAAAATGCAACAGAAAATCAACTATCTGTTCACAGAAAGAAATCAAAACTTAAAAGACAATTAGAAGTAGCATTTCATAAAGGAGAAGGAACCTTAAAAATAAATATGAATACATTTACTAACACGTAGCTCCTTTGTAAAAGCTACACTGCCAGCAGAAAGTTGCATTAGCATTCATCTTTCATCCTTAAAGTATAATTTAGAATAATAAAGTGGATATTATGATCAACAGTGATGGTTAAAATGCGTGAGACAGATTGTCAGCCCATTTAAAGAGGAATAGGTTGAGTTTATTAAGGTTGACTAATGGCTTAAAGGCTTCTCCATTGACAGTGCATGCCAGGAAATCATAAAAATGCTACTTGAGTTTCCATCCAGTTGAAACCCTTGGACTGTAACCACGCAAGACATGTGTACTGGACTCATCAGCCCTTCAGGGCTGTGTTTCTTTTCCAGCTTCACATCTATTATACGCCTTAAAGGTGAAATCTGATTCAAATAATTCAGACTTGACAGGTTTTCACAAACAAGTACAGCACCTACCGTCAGCATATCATCACACTTCATGTCTGGCGTGTCTCCATCCTCACTTTTGTTGTAGAATTTGCGAAAGAAATTAAAAGCAACCACTGTGTACAGATACACCACAACGGCCAATAAGCCCACAGTTAATACCAGCTGCACAGACATAAAGGGGGAGAGAAGTGTCAGATCAACATGAAGTCATTAATACCCATCTATTTAATAAAACTGGAGATTTCAGTGGATGATTACCCATTTGTTTTATAAGAACAACTTGGGGTAATTTCCCAAAGTCTTTCAGTCATTTAATGATTGCCTCTTGACCAATTCAGACAATGTTTAGTTTTCCCATTTCCTCTGGCCATAGTTATTAAGTTGTCTCTCTTAATTTGCTGCATATTAAATGTATGCTTAAATGAGAACAAACAAGTCTCTGTACTTTGCATTTTAAGTTTAAAAGTATTGCGACAAGCAAGTTGATAGAAAACACATTCAATAATCTTCATAAATATGTTATGCAGGGATTTTGCAACTGCTACTCATTTGTGGATCCAACTTTACATTTAGAAAGCTCGCATCCCAGTACCTGTTTGCCATTGTGTGTCACAGATGATAGGATGGTACGTAATGTTTTAAATCCCATTGCAATATCCAGCAAATGGGCAGCAAAGAAAAAGTTGTTATAATGTCCCAGCACTGACATGGTCATGTACCAGGCAAGGTACAAGAAGGACTGCAAGCAAAGAGAAACAAGCATTACTCACAGAAAACATACAGAAGTACATTGTCTACATGAGGAAGAATTTTACTGAATGCACACCAATTGCACTGAGTTTGAAAATTAAAACAGAAAATGGACTGTTAAATAGCTGAAAAAAGAACAAATACTAACACTTCACCGAGAGACTATTAATCAGAATCAACTTTTTTTTAAAGCTGAATGACTTGCTGTTCCGTTCAAATCTTATTTCAAATTTGCAATGCTTTCCTTTTGTTTCTGTCTGAAGCAATATTTTGGTTTCAGATGCACATATTGCAAGATTCCATGCTAGGGGCAATTTTCCGCTAGTACAGACAATTTAGAGCACAAACAGAAAGCATTTGGTCTGCAAGTAAGATCATTAAATCACCACAGAGACCACCTCTCAACTCAAGGTCCACTTAGGGTCTGTTAGCATCACTCTATAGAGTCATTAAATAAATTTGATTTCTGAAATTCTCCAAAGGATTGTTAGTATTCCTGAGGGCTCTGCTTGACTCCTATTGTAATGGGAGGTATGAAACCAACCACAGAAATACATGGCTATGGTGTTTCTGTATCAGAGTTCTCACCATACCTCAATTAATGCAATGGATAATCTTCAACTGTAGGCAATCTTTGCAAAATCAACAAGTTTCAGTTACAATACCCAGTGAAGATAAATAATGTGTTTTATTAGTCAAGCTCTGAAATAGATTCAATCAGAGGTGCATTAATGAGGAAAATAAAGGGAAGCAAAAAAAAATCCAGGTTGTCACTGGGGTTTTTTCCAAAACCATTCTGCGGTAAACACTTTTTTTTCAATCGTTCACAGGATGTGGGCATCAGCAGCTAGGCCAGTATTTATTGTCCATCCCTAATTGCCCAGACAGAAGTTAAGAGTTAACCACATTGCTGTGGGTCTGGAGTCACATGTAGGCCAGACCAGGTAAGGATGGCTGTGTCCTTCCCCAAAGGACGTTGGTGAACCAGGTGGTTTTTCTCCAATAACCGGCAGTGGTTTCATGCTCACCATTAAACACTTAATCCCACTTTTTTTCAATTGAATTCAAATTTCACCATCTGCCATGGTTGGACTTGAACCTGGGGCCCCAGAACACTACCTGGGTCTCTGGATTAATAGTCTAGTGATAATCGTATTAGGTCCCCATAAATACTTCCCAGATCACCACTGAGAAAGCTCACTATGTGATGGATTTATATCAGCGGAATTTTTTAAAAAGTATTGCTAAGTGGAAGTTGTTTCAGAGATAGTAGGAACTGCAGATGCTGGAGAATCTGAGATAACAAGGTGTAGAGCTGGATGAACACAGCAGGCCAAGCAGCATCAGAGGAGCAGGAAGGCTGACGTTTCGGGCCTAGACCCTTCT